CAATGGTGAAAAGATTAAAAAAAAAAGTGGCATTAATACTTGTATTGTATTTGATATAAAATATTTCAGGTAAAAAATCTTGTGTCTAATATGCAAACACATCTTACTATGGACTAGCTTTTCATTGTTGATATAAAATTGTTTTATCATACTGAAAAAAGAACTTATTAGAGACTGCTGTCAAAAAAATAAAGACATTCCGTATGACTGACAATAAGGGCATGACAATGCAGGATGAAAATTGTTTCCTTGGTATCAGAAACATATACATTCCCCATTTTAAGGATAGCATAGCAATAACAGGTTGATTTTGGTCAAAGAAAGAACAATTATAATGTCAGCAATCTTTACCTAATGTATACAACTTAATGTGATGAACTTTCTACCCAATGCAATGGGAAAAAAGGGCCATCACTGTAATTTAGTTTACAAATTTTAAAGGTCAATGCAAAGAAAAAAAATCCCGAATAATAATTCCTTCCCTCTAGTAAGTGAGGTTCTTTTAGAGTGATGCCAGTGCATAATCATACTAATGGGATATGCAAACAGATCCATTACGTTCTACAAAACATGAAGAAAAGCAGTGCCTACTGGGAATTGCACTAGCACCTTCTTTGTGGCTCTGAATATTTAGAACTTAGGTTACAAAATTAGCACCATCTAAGAATCAGAGGAACTATTGTAACTAATTGTTTCTTCGTCTGGGTGCCACCCGCATTATAAATGTAACCCTTCTGCCAGGACAAGTTACTTGCAGCAAGGGCTGGGTTCAATGTCTAGGGGTCTCCTCCCAACAACATAATACAATGCCGGCTCAAGCCCCTACCCAGTGACCTGGGAAATCTTACACACACCCCTGGGTGCCTCAAAGAGGCAATTCTTCCCCTCTCGCAATCACAGAGCCTAGGTATAGCAGCAAATCTTTAATAACACAGGGTAACTGACATCAGCATTGAAGTGGGAAAACACCACAACTCAGATTCATAAACCAGACATGAGAAAAGACCCACCCCCCAGCCACAAATCACCCAAGGTCCTCAAAAGTCCAACACCCCAAAAGTCTCTGCCCCGGGTCAGTGCCGCCCCAGGATTAAAAAGTTCACCTAGCAGGGTTTTACCATCCCAACCTGGGTGCAATGGAGGGGACAGGGGTTGATACGCTTTACGCGGTCCACCGGCAGCTCTGCCTCTCCGTAGGTTTCTGCTGCCGCCATTGATGCAAATCACTCCGCCACCTTCACCTGCTGTCCTGTGAGCCGCTCCAGCTGTTCCACAGAGCAGTGTCTACTCCTCCAGCCCGCCTCAGTCCACGCTCCCCGGCCACCAGCTGGTAGGTCCCGCAGCTGCTCCACCGGCCGCCCGTCGGTCATCCCCGCCAGCTGCTCGCCTGCATCCACCAGTCGCCCCTACAAACTGCTCTGCTAGTAGCTCAGCAACAGTGATTTCAGCTCACAGTAGATTTCAGCTCTTCAGCAGTGGGACCAGGCTCACCTCAGTGCACCAGGCTCACCTCAGTACACAGTGACTTCAGCAAGTTCAGCTCACAGTAGAAGAACCTCAGTACAAGTGCACCATTGGCCCACAGTGAAGTCAGCAAGAGAGGAGGAGGTGCAATCAGTGTGTTTTGGGCCCTTAAACTGGGCCCACCCCCACACCACAAGGTACAAAGACCTGTCCCTAGCCTCTCTGTCTGACTGGGTTTGGAACCCATGCCCCTTGTCTAGCGAGTGCTACTTAGTTTATTGCAAAACAATTCCACTATTTGATTCACATAATCAGGGTAACAACACTTTATCCCCCCTGCCTCAACAACAGAGAAACTTGAGATCCCACAGTGGCCAAAGTGACCATTTGGCTACTGAGAGCACATACTAGGCAGGGTGGGTGTGCCTATGCAAATGAATCAGCCCCTGCAGTCTTTTTGCATCACTTGCCACAGTTAAACCCCAGATGTCAGGGTAGGGCTTATCCTGACCCTGACTTGCCACAGTTCACCAACAGATGTCAGGGTAGAGCTTATCCTGACCCTGCTTACATCAATCTTGTGGGAGTGTAGTGACAAATTTAATTCTCACTAAAGCAGAATGAGAAATTCAACTTATGGATTGCAGAACTGACTTCATAAAGCAAACATCAGTTTGATTTAGATGGTTTCTGGTACAAAAACTACCTTTTTAGTGTTTGTGCACATAGCAGCTAGCACAGTGAGGACTGATCAGGGCTGATAGGAACTACTACAATAATAATAAAAGATAAATGCCAAGTCAAAAGAGCTTTGGTGCTGAGTAAAATATATGTACAGATCTACAGGTAGCAGCCGTGCACATTTCTATGCAGATGATATGCAAAAGCATGCCACTGATGCTATTTTAGCCCTAGCAAAGTAAGCCCTTAAATCCTCAGGGTGTCACCCTAACTAAAATTAACAGCTCCCTATAAGCCTAACCTGAATAAAGATACTTCAGCACGGATCCCCAAAAGTTACCATAAATCTAGGTGGATTTCTAAATGTCCTACACAAATAAGAGCCTGAAGCACCTTTTGTCATCTATGGTATGGAATTATCTACTTTCTGGAGGGTGAGAAAGAGGTGCTGGAAGGAACACCGCAAGGAGATTAAAGTTCTTATTTTGGTGGAATTCACACACCACTTTTGGCATGAATTTGAGATATAGAACAAATGTCTGCGGAGTACAGGGAAGAGAGGATCAGCTATTACAACCTGTAGTTTATTCATTCTTCTCACTAAAGTTTATTTTTTGTTGACAAGCAGAATAAAGAGCATTCTCCCCCTATGTTAAAAAGTACAAACATTACCTCTCACACCACCAAGATGAGATGTTACATTGCCAAATGTTCTCTAACCACTGCTACAGTTTTAAGTCATTCCACCATCAAGGAATCCTGTGACGGTGGAATAACTTAAAACTGTAGCACTAGCCACTGGAAGATGGTAAATTGAGATAGTAGAGAGGTGCACCCTGACTAAAGATAAGTAAAGGCCAAGAAATTCGGAATAAAACAAAGAGTCCAAAATAAAAATTATTTGCCCTCATAGTGAAAACCTTTTATATTTCTGGGTGAGATATTTCAATCTAGATAATTTCCTGAATTACAGCAAGATACAGGTTGCACCTCTGCAAACTGGCATTCTCTGGTCAAGCAACATCCATGGTCCTGCTAGACCATTGGTGCTCCTGGATCACAGAGCCCAGGAGCCTAATGGCTGGAGTGCCAGCTGGGACCAGAGGCCAATGGTAGCCCCTAACAATGCAGGCTGGTGCTGGAGCCCTGTGGCAGCCTGGCTGGTGGGCAAGCAGCCTGGCTGAATGAGTGGGAGGAGGGGGCGGAGGCAGGGTGCCTGCTGGGGCAGTAGCAAGCCAGCAGCAGGAAGGGGTTTAGGAGCTGGTAGCAGGGGACTTTCCCTGCTCTGGCATATTCAGTTAGGTCCCAAAGGTGCCAGACCAGGGAGGTCCAACCTGTATTCTGTACTTTTCCAGAGCAGGCTAAATCAAAAGATTATCAGCATCATGTAAAGTAGCAAGGTGAAATTATTTTGGAACTAGTATGCAGAACAAGGCCTCTTTCTCAAGTCAGAAAGTTCTGATGGGACTGCCAGATTATACAAAGGCTCTTAAGAAAGATCCTAGAGATCCAAATGCCAATATTACTTATCCCAAGATGAAGCAACCGGAATGACAGTAATGTAAACAGCATTAGTGCAAAAGCAAACTGCATTTCCTTGTGGCAGGGCCACAC